GGCAGTATGTGTTGTTGAAGACAAAGAATCGAAGAAGGAAGATTTCTTGAAATGGGGTTGAGATTGCAGAGTAAGTAGAACAAGAGGACAATATTAGAAAGTTAAAACACTTAACATTAAACTCAGTGGAAAATTCCTACTTATTAGGCACAAATAACTTTTTTTTATTACCCCGCAAGCTCATCTTTATTTAATTTTTTGGGAAACAACCTCGCCAATTTCCACATAAATTTAACCTCTCCACTTAATTTATTACTCTCTTCGTCCCTAAAAAAAATATTCCGTATCAAATTACTATTCACGATGGACCTTAGGTCTTTGTTGTTGAAGACAAAGAACAAAAAAAAGATTTTGTTGAAATGGAAGGGGGGGCATGGGGTTGAGGTTGTAGAATAAGAAGAACAAGAGGACAAAATTAAAAAGTTATTCTCTTCGTTCTAATTTATAGTTCTTGTTTTGATTTACGATGTTTGACTGAAATTATTTTCAAATCATTTTATATGACAAATGGTATAGAGTTAAAAACAATAAAAATCACATATTAAAATACTACATCAAAAGATTGCAAAGCTAATAGTGACAATAGTATTTTATTTTATCAAATTGTTAACGAAAATAAAGAAAGAAAGTTAATGAAGTTTGATTCTGTAAATAGTGAACATGCACGATAAATTGAGACGGAGGAAGTAAACACTTCACATTAAGGTTTGGTACACGGAATTTCCTATAACGGTTTGGTACACAATATTTAAACTGTGGAATTGGAATTGGGATGAACAATTTTAATTTTGCTATTTTGTAGCACAAAAATATATGAATTTGGAATGGCTAGTGCAAAAAATGAATTGAAATTAAAAAATTCAATTTCATCTAAATCAATTCCATAAAATTTTAACCTACAATTCAATTCAAATTCTATCAATTTCGTCTCCCAAATGTTCTCTGAAAATTATGTTAAATCAAAGTAAAAATCCTTACTTATTAGGCGCAAGTAATTTTTTATATTATCCCCCAGCTTATCTTTATTTTATGAGAAACCACGCCAGTCTCCAGAGGGATTAAACCTCTCCACTAAATGTTTTACTCCATTCATCCCTAGAAAAATATCAAATTACCATTCACATGGATTAAATTTTGATTTTTTTGTTACATATTCTTATTCATCAGTTGACAAAAAAAAGTTATGTTATATTTTGTTAAATGGAACATTGGATGTAAATTTAAATATGCAACCTTTTAAATTTTATAACAAATTTCAAATAAATAAAATTAAGAATTGGTTTAATCATATATCGTATACTAACAAACTTTGTTATAGGAGGGAGGAAGTATTGTTTTTATTGTTTGTTATTAATTGTTATCAAATTTGTGAACTAATGGGGAAATAATGGACGCTTTTGAACCGGAAAAATGAAGATTGATTGTCTATGATTAATGGACCGAGGCCCAATATTAAGGCCTTTTGGCCCGAAAAAAGTGTACGCCGAGGGCCTTCCACAAACGGAGGCAGATATCAATTACCAAATACTCCATTGGTTAGGTAAAATTTTACATTTTTAAAAGCTGAGTTATGTAATTTAAAAAATTAAAATTATAATAAAAATGAAATTTACATATTCAAAAATTACTTAAAAGTTTTTCAAACAAGAGTGATATCATTTATCAATTTACCGGATTGAATTGATTCCAATTTCAATAACAAAAATTTATATATTTCAAAAGGACTTATAAATATATTTACTATTTAGCCCGACTATCTTATAGCTCAATTCTGTAATTGTTGTCATCCTAAATTCTTTAGTCAAAAGAAGTATGACCTGAGTTTGTGTGCCTTGTCTATTGGTTATTGGGATAGTCGGCCGGCCACAAGACATGTTGGTGTACTCCATTTGTCCTCTACCCCCTCCTTGTTCACATAATTGGGCAAGAAAATCAAAAATAAATAAATAAAAATTAATTTAAAATGAGTGGTGAAAAAAGGGGTGGTGTACAAATGGGGTACACTTTTGGTGTACCCATAGCATTACTCATCAGGCAAATTGCGCGGCCACGCAAATTGAGGGGCGTTGGAAGTTTTGTCTCACATCGGAAAAAGTTCAATAATGACACCCACGTACGTATTAGTTTTGTGGTCTCTTCTCTTATTGGAAAGGAAAATGTTAGGGCTACACCAAAGGTGTACCCCATTTGTCCCTTACCTCTTCCATTACCACTTAAATAGACAAGAAATTTTAAAAAAATTAAGTAAATAAAAATAAAAAATAAATGAGTGGCGTACCACGCGCAAATGCGCACAAACTGGAATGTGACCCCCACTTTATGTTTGACCCACCAAACTTTTACGGAGTATCAAATATTTTAGAAATGGAATTCATGTACCTCAAAATCATCAAGCATTCCCGAGAATGAAAATTTAAAATAGGACCATGCTAGGTGTCACCACATGGGTGCTACCATGGTTACACCCATTCTTCACACAGATAAACACAGACGATAATTGTCTATGCGACACAGACAATTATCATCTATGTTTGTCTGTGTGAAGCATGGGTACACCCATGGTAGCACCCATGTGGTGGTACCCAAGCATTTTCCTTTAAAATATATCTGGAAAAAGTACTTCCATTTCAAAGAATTAACTTTTACGGAGTATTATTTTACATAGTCAAACTAACTTTTTCTTTTATTTATTTACTTTAATTATAAAAGAGTAGAATTTTTCAAGTTATTTTGAAACATTTGAAATATTATTTTTTTAACATTAATATTCAGATATATTACATTCAAAATAAATTCGATCAAATATCATAAACTAAAAATTAAAAATTACTTCCTCTATCTACAAATTTTCTTCTCGCGCGTTTACTATTCACATGTTCAAACTTTATTTATCTTGTCTGTCTATTTTCGTTGCTCATTTCACAAAATAATCTAATCATGTCAGGTATGATTTTGTAGATCTTTTGGTGTAGTATTTAAATACATAAATTTTAAACTATTTTTTAACTTCACACCAATATTTATATAAAATGATTTAGAAATAACTTCATCCAAATATCGTAGCGCGCAACGCGAAGAAAATTTGTAGAGGGAGGGAGTGTTTCACAATGGAGGGACAAAAAACTTAGTTGCACACATAATGACATGACAAAGTGTTATTGCAAATCACTTCATGGAAGGTTAATGTTTAATGAACACCCCATTTTGGGGGACTCATCATATAAAATCATCCATCCATAGCCATACCAATTAAACATCATAGTAATTAATAATAATGCTTGCATGCCTAATTACTAATTAGATACCCTACAATCAGTTCTAACACCCTCACCCCCTGTGATGCTGCTCATCTTGATCATGGAATTTGCAAAGGCCTTAAAGAAAGCTTCTTGTGAGCTAGCATATTGCAAAACAAGGGCTCTAGTTTTGGGATTTGCAAGAAGGGCCTGGTCCGAGGAGAACAGGCCCTTCCCTTGCAAAAGCAGCTTGTAATAGTTATTGTCAAACGTCGTTGAAGAAGGGTCCATCCCCGTTCCCGCGTTCTTGGAATTGCCTCCCGGCGGACAAATGCCTCTCAGCTGGGCTGCCATGGCCCGGTTGAGCGTGGGGTCCACGTCGCTTGTTGCGTTGAAGTTGCGCAACCGGTTGTCGAAGGATGAGCAGTGGGAGAAACCTATCGTGTGCCCGCCTTCGATCAAACACACGACAAACGTACGTCTTAATATGGCATCGAAGTCATTTGATGAGTTCAAAGTTCCATACCCAAATATATATATGAAGAAGTTAATTAATTACCTACCTGAGAGAGCCACAAGGTCCTCCATGGAAAGGCCTCTCAGAGAGAAGCTAAGGTATAGCTGGGAAAGGTTAAAGGCTGGGGCAGGCAGTTGTATGGTTTCACTAGCTTTGGATACCCGCCCATCTTTTCGTCCCTTTGGGACCTCCCAATAAGGCCCCCCTGCCTGCATTTAACAAACACCACAACATATAGATTCATTATTGTCCAATAAAGCGCCGGTGGGCATTGCGCAGTTGGCAAGACAAGGGGTGTCAAGGGATAAAACTCGAATGCCAGGTGCATGCTTCTCTATTTGCCACTAATATGCGACCAAACTCTAATTTATCTTTCTCAGTGACCGTCTGACCGGATCTCAGAGGGCCCTAGAGGATAGGGCTCATCTTTTTTTATTATTGTCCAATAAAGATCTTGTTAAATGACCTTCTTTTTGTTTGATAAATATCTTCTCATTATCTTTTTTTAATACTCCGTATTTGAAATGCCATAACTACCCTCAAAGTAGTATTTTATCAAATTGGTAATGAGTATAAGAAAACGAAGTTTATAAAGTTTGACATCATGAATAGTGTACAAGGAGATTTAAGTGAGACGGGGAGAGTAATTTTCTTACTTTTTTTTTCAACTCTAGAAAAATGTACATGGAAAGTCAGGCAATTAGAATTTTTTTTTAAAAAAAATAAATCTTGAATGTTGGCTCTGATAACACGTAGAATAATTATGACTTTCCACTCTGAGAGGATTAGAAAACTTACGGCGACGACGGCGTCTCTAGCGGCAAACGCCAAAATATCAGCACAAGAGACCACGCCGGGGCAAATGGCCTCCACGGCCTTCTTAGCGTCGTCAACGACAAAGAATGCATGGAGAGACACGTTTGGGGGGCCATTCTTCTCCGCCGGACTGTTCTTATTCTTCGACTCCAAAAGCACCGATGCGTCACACCCCTGTACCCACCAAACACGTACACACACACACCAATTCCTCTTCAACTATTATCGGTCTTGTTTGGGAAAGTACATTTTCCGGGTTAACGTTAAAGTTTTAAATTACTCCCTCCGTCCCAAATTATTTGCCATATTTGTATTTCCGAAGCAAAAATATCAAGTTTTTTCAATTCATTTTATTTACATATTGGTATAGAAACAAAAAAATAAAATTTACATATAAAAAAACTACATAAAAAGTTCTTCAAAATAAGAGGTGTCAAGAATATTTTATTTTATCAAAACGTCGAAATAAACAAAAGTTCCCGCGACTGCTGAAAAAGCAAATGTTGTGAATATTTAGGGACGGAGGTAGTATTATTTTTAAAAGCGTTCAGATTAATTTTAAAAAACGCTGCTATCAGATACTCCCTCCGTTCCAAATTATTTGCCACATTTGTATTCTCGAGGAAAAATATCAAGTTTCTTCAATTCATTTTATTTACATATTGGTAAAGAAATACTCCCTCCGTCCCATAAAACATTTTCTGTTTCAAAAAAGGCGCGCCCTTAAAATGAGTAGTTTTGATGTTATTTTCTAATTTTGCCCTTACTTTATAAAAGAGTAGGATGAGATGTGTAGAATAGATTAGTCATAATTAAAAAATAACACTAAAATTACTCATTTTAAAGGCGTGCCATTTTTGAAACAGGAAATGTTTTATGAGACGGAGGGAGTAAAAAATAAAATTTACATATAAAAAAACTACATGAAAAGTTCTTCGAAATAAGAGGTGTCAAGAACATTTTATTTTATCAAATAATCAATGAAAACGCCGAAATAAACAAAAGTTCCCGACACTGCTGAAAAAGCAAATGTTGTGAATATTTAAGGACGAAGAGAGTAACATTTTTTTTAACCCATAAAACTGAACACTATTCTAAAATTTGTCCAAGAAGTTATATTCTGCATTTAGTTAGTTTTAGGACAGACGGAGTATACCCCCTCTGTTCTTGAAAATACTCCCGCCCTAATTTTTTTGGAAACTCCATAAAACACTTTTACTTCCACCTAAAATGTCTAAAATACCTCCAAAACAACTCCTATCAGAAATAAACTACATTATGGGATGTATTCTAGACATTTTAGGTGGAAGTAAAAGTATTTTATGAGATGCGCAAAAATTTAGAGTGAAAGTGTTTTCAAGAACGGAAAATATATATATGTAAACGTCTAAAAATTACGGGAAGAACAATGTCGCGACATTTATCAAAGTTGTGAGTAATTAAGTAAAATTGCACCATTATTCATATATAATGATATGAGTTTTTGTTTCTTCGAAAAAAAATGAATTACCCTAATGAAACAATCATGGAAATGCATCCTTAGTAATCCAGCAGGAACAGTGGTGTCAGCCATGGATGCTTTGTTGACAACCTCTGTGACAATAGCCTCAGCCTGGGGGCACGTTGTTTCGTAGTAGTTTGAGCTCAGTCCCTTCCCCCGAGTGGCAATGGATGAAACAATAATAATTATAAGTAACATTAATGAAGGAGAAGCCATAATAATAATGGACACCTGGTAATAATATATATTAATGGATTAATTATAATTATAATTCCCCTCTTTTCTTGTTATGTATAGAAATTGGGCTGTGATAGATGATCAAGAAGTATTTATAATAACAAGAAAGTAATGAGATCAGGGAGCATTAATGATTAATTAATTAATTGTATGGAATTGGAAATGAAATGGGTGAAATTAATACTTGGTAAAACATTATGTGGGGTGGCATGCAAGTCTGAATTGACATTGGAGTGTTTCCTAAGCATGCATCCATTTTATATAGTCTTAATTAATTTGTTGAATTAAGCTTGGTGAGATTTAATTTGCACATATTTCTTGTCTCATCTAGAGGTGGACATACTTTCTACTTTGTTTGTACTCTCTTCCTTCCAATTTTTTTTGTCTCACTTTGAACAAAGAGTAATTAAACTTTATAAATAATCATCTAGTTTCAGTCTTTTATATGGAAAAATACTACTTTCTCTGTCGCACAAAAAGGTTTCGGACTTGGAATCGACACGTGTTATGAAAATCCAAATAATATGAGTCATAGAAAAATTGTAAAATTTAGTGGTTAACATGGCACGAAGGGGAGAAAATCCAAATAATATGAGTCATAGAAAAATTTTCTTAGGTGAAAATTGCACCCCTCTCTTAGACAAACGAAAAGGAAATAGAGAATGTTTTTATGAAGAGATAAAGTAACTAAGATCCTTAAGAATTTGGGAATTTTTACTCTCATGTCTTTCTTTTTGTGCAAAACGAAAATTTTTTTAAGTTTTTTAAATCTATTTAATTAAATATTGGTATAAAAATAAAAAATAAAATTTTTATATTTAGAAACTACATCAAAAGTTCTAGTAGACCAAAACCTGCTTGGATATCATTGGGATAGAGATCATTGGATTGAGCTATAAAATACTTGGATTAAACCATATTAAAAGATTGAATCTAATCGATTAAAGATGTTATAAATAATTTATATTCTTTTTAATGTTTCAATGTGGGATAAAAACTCTAACAAAATCTTGCATAAAATTTCATAAAATTATGGATTGGATGTGAAATATTTTCAATTATAGTTAGGGTCCGTTTGGTATACGGAATTGATGGAATTGGAATTGAATTGGAATTGAAATTTCATGGGATTCAATTCCATAGAATTGAATTCTGCCAATTCCAATTCATTTTTGCACTATCAATTCCAAATCTACATAATTTTTGTGCTACCAAACACCAGAATTGGAATTGAAGTCCTCAATTCCAATTCTATAGTTAGAATTCCGTGTACCAAACGGGGCCTTAAAGAACATTTGTAGAATTTACTCTATAACAAGTCTTCAAATAAGCCCATTCATACCACCACTTCAACCAAAATTTCAAATAAGTTAATTTCAAATAAGTTTCAAACTTAAAAGAATCATTTAGCCAAATCGATCTACCCCCAAACTTCCAACCTGCTAAGAAAAAGATCACTTTTTTATTAGATTCTTCTTTTTCAGATGAATTGACTTTTCTCTTTTTCATATTTCAATGGTTCATCATTTCTCTTAAGATTTTAGCATCAGTTTTTTTAACTTTATTTCTGCAATATAACAATAATGGTATGTTGTCAAATGTCAATACGGCCGATGCTTGACGTACAAAAATTAGACTTAAATTAACTAAGGTTTACACCAAACATTCAAATATTATCAAACTTTAAGAAAAAAGTTTTACTTTTATAAAACAAAAATAATATTCCATCCGTCCCTAAATGTTTACCATATTTTTAAAAACGAGATAAAATATCAAGTTTTTTCAATTCATTTTATTTAAATATTGATATAGATATAATGAATAAAATTTACAAATTTCAAAACTACATTATATAAAAAAAATTTGAAATAAGAGGTGTCACGAATATTTTATTTTATCATATAGCTAATGAAAACGTATAAATAAATAAAAAAATTTATGATTATTTAAAAAGTAAATATGACAAATATTTTGAGACGAAGAAAGAAACTTATTTATGAATTGAGAATGATTATAAAAGCAAAACTTTTATCTCTTTGTTGCTAAGAAAGTGCCTAAGCTCTATATAAGAGGTTGGTTGAGATAACCATAGCCATATTTTCATTATTAATTGGCAACTACGTTAGGTTTTTCACTATAATAATGCGCCTCCGGTATCTATTTCTCTGTTCAAAAATTATCTTCTCGTTGCAGATTACGATATTTGGCTAAAGTTATTTTTAAATTATTTCATATGAATAATGATGTAGAACTAAAGAAATTACATATATAAAAACTAAATAAAAAATCTATAAAACTAAATGTGACATGAATATATTATTTTATCAAATGACAATGAAAATATGTCAACAAATTGAATAAAATTTAACCACCGGAGGATGATTTTAGAGGGAGAGAGTATCAATTAACTCTATATATGTGTTCTCTCTTTATAAAAGTAAAGATATCCTAAAAGCACATCATCATTGGTCAATATGGATGGAAAAAGAATGCACGGAGTAATAACTAAATTTGACTCTTGGCAACGATGATGAAAATCATCCATAGACTATGGTCCATGGCTCCTCCATGGCCTAACCAATCTTAGGAGATCTATGGTTCATCCTTTTTTAGAAAAAAACTACTGTAATTAAGATGAAGTGGGTTCTCATGCGTTTGATGGAATTCTTTTAACCCGTCTACATGAATCAAATTAAGGGTATGTTCGGTAGGTTTTGAAGGTATGAATGTGTGAAATGATATGAGTTCTAAAATTAGAGAGAAAACATGTACGTGTTTTGATATCTAAAATGAAATTGTTGGAGAGATTTGAAATCCTAAGCCAATTAGTGATAGGTTGGGTGGCCGGAAACAAGGTAGTTGCCAATGACACTAGTAGCCAGTCGATGATTGGGAAAGATATTTAACTCATATACAGAGTATATCTTTCAAATTCGAGAGATATCACAATCTTTCATTTAGAAGGTTTGTAATATGTGAATGTATCAAATCTTAATTCTTTCATACTATATTTGGTTCAAGGAATTTGAAAGGGAAAAGAAAAGAAAATGAAGTGGAAAACCATTTTTCTTGTTTGGTTAGAGGGGAAAAGAAAGGAAAAGTGGAAGGAAAAGAAAATGAGGAGGCAAAATGTACCAAGTGGAGGGAAAAATCAAATTCCTTCCATTTTTGTGAGGAAAATGAAAGAAAACCATTTTCTTTTCTTTCCGAAATTCTTGAACCAAATATAATGTCCATGTTTCGCCAAACATCTTAAATGAGTTATTATCTAAAAGAAACAAGTCCTAAGAGCATGCAAGAATTTTTATGTCTTATGCGCTCACCAAACCGACACTAAAGAATACTACGTATCTATCATGTACCGAAGGCCACACGATCCATACTATCTTACCAAATTTTTATTTTTTATAAAAAAATAATAAAATTATGTTTATCTCATTAGCAAAAATGCTTATTTAATTTATATGAAATGCTAATTTCATTTATATGAAGGTCCATCATAGATGAGTATGTCCATGCAAGAATTAAGTTTTTTTGAACAAAATGCACTTGTTTCATTCATGCAAGAATTAAGTTCACTGTTTAGTTTTTGATTAATTTCTTGCACGAGGTGTAGACTTGTCGGAATAATTGAAGGCTCAAATAATTAATCAAATCTGCATAACTAGGCTACATTTCTCTTACCAAAATTTTGACCTGTTTGGAGTCAAGTGCATACCAATTTCTCGGATCATCAAATATAGAGGGTGTTTGGGAGTATGGTGAGTTATGTAAAAGTAGAAGTCATAATTTAGAAGCAGAAAGCATGTATTTGTAGCTTTGTTAGAAAGCACTTATAGACCTTAATTTTAACTTCTAAACCCATAATTTATAAGCTAAAGCAGATCGGCAAACATTTAAAATTGTGTTTTAGTAAAGTAGAAGCTATAAGTTATTTTCAAATGCAATCCCAAACACCCTCATAATAAAGCAGGATATTTGAACAAAGGGTAAAACAAATGGGTAGTTACTAAGGCCCCATTTGGCATCAACATTTTTGAAAAGGCTATCCGACGGTATCCTTTAGCTTAGCGTTTTCAGAAATAATCTGCACCATTAACACAATGTTTGGTTCAAGGAATTTGAATGGGAAAAGAAAAGAAAATGGAGTGGAAAACTGTTTTTCATGTTTGGTTGGAGAGGAAAAGTGGAAGGAAAAGAAAATGAGAAGACAAATGTACTAAATGGAGGGAAAACCAAATTCCTCCCATTTTGGTGAGGAAAATGAGAGAAAATCGTTTTTTTCTTTTCCTTCAAAATCCTTGAACCAAACATAGTGTAAACGTTTTATCCAAAACGCTAACGCTAATCGAAAACGTTGTTCCCAAACAAGGCCTAAGTCCACCCATAATATTTCCCCCCTGAGATAGGCAGAAGAGCATAATTGACTGTTTTCAACAAGGAAGAAAGTTACAGCAAAAAGAGACAGAGTATATGAAATCTTCATCATATACATAGAAGAGATTATTATATTCATAAACATTAATCTGCAACAGTCACACATTGTTGCAGGTATGAAGAAAGTGTTACCAAGAGTTCCTCTGCTCTGACTCTCTCTCTTCCCCAGTAGGTTGGATTACTTGCAGGTTTCAAAAGAGTTCTAAAACAAACCCAGTCCCCTCTGCTTTTATAACAAACCCAGTCCTCTCTGATGATGTGCCCACTCTGTCTCTTGCTTCAAGAACTTGCTTTGGCCTGCCAGGGGAGGGGGGGGGAGCAAAACAGAAAAGAAAACCCCAATGAGGCAAATGAAGAGGCAAGTAAAACCAGAAAATGAAAACATAAAATAACCAGCAAGACGTTCAGAGAAAACAGTGGCAAACATGTTGCCAAATTTGCAAGCTGAATACATGGAGTGAAATCAATCAACTACAAACACAAACAAGTTGTAGTAAAGAGAAACAGCTAAAAGCAAAAGGGACTTACGTGGAAACAAAATGGCGCTCGTTGTAGTGCTTACCCTTTGGGAAATGAGCAGGTATATCCCTACAAGCATGGAAAAAAAAAGAAAAAGAAATGAGCCCAAAATAATAATTTCTCTAACACTATGTTTGGTTCAAGGAAATAGGAAGGAAAAGAAAAGAAAACGGTTTTCCCTCAAATTCCTCACCAAAATGGGAGGAATTTGGTTTTCTCTCATCTTAGTACATTTTGCCATCTCATTTTCTTTTCCTTCCACTTTTCTTTCTTTTCCTCTCTAGCCAAACAAGAAAAATGTTTTCCTTCACATTTTCTTTTCCTTTCCCTGTCAAATTCCTTGAACCAAACATAGTGTAAAAACTGGAGCGCATTAGAAGACACGCACAGAGCAAGAGCGCCACTGAATGTCGACTTGGGAGCAATACATCTTCTGGTGGAAATCACAGAACAACAATCGAGTCCAGCACTCGCCCTGTCTAAGTTAACAGTAAACCTACAGCAATAATAGCCACAAGAGTGTGTTCCATAGTCATCATAATCGGCATACAAAAGAGCGAGTTCACCACCCCCAACATCAACCAATTCGAGAAGAGCAAACGGTAGGGATAAAGGAAGCAATTCCTCCCTCACTAAATCCACCAGAGGATACTGACAACCTTGTTGTACATTGTAGCACACTAAACTGTAGGTGGGAAGCACAAGATTGTTGCCAAGATGGACAAAATGAGCTTTGTCCAACATAAAACCCTGCCCCCACAGAACATGAAGTGGCATCCCAGAGATGCCTGATGAAGACAAAGGCTCCACAGCAACCCAAGATTTGGATTTTGGTGTATATGTGTAGAACCGATCCGGCCACGAACCGAATAATATATGGGAATCTCCATCATCTCCTACAACTGCAATGGACGAAAAGTTTTTGAAATCCAACTTGATATGACTAGGAGGATTAGGAAGCGTAACCCATTCTTCTGCGGCTTCAGGAAGCATCTCCATAAATTTTGCTCCTTCATTTCTCATACCACCCACAGCGTAAAGAACACCATCGATGACATGAAGGTGAGGTGACCATCGTCCATATGTCATTGAAGGCAACGTAGTCCACTCACTTCCCTTAGTGGTATCCAAACAAAACACACATCTCTCGCCCCAACCTATCATAGCAACAACATCATAACCATTATCATTATCATCACTGCGATAAGCATCCTTACATGGGTTACAATGAGAGTTGTATCCCCCAGCTAGATACACACGAGACTTGTGGGCCATAAGGGATGCACCATTGTGGCAATGATCAAGAAGGCTAATATGCTTTGCAACCAAAGGCGTTGGGCCAGCATCAGTCCCAGAAACCAAAGCTAAGCTGTCATCACCTGACTTGTTATACGGTCGGAATAAGCCTTCATCAAAAGCATAAAACTCAATTTTGAGACCAAAGCGGGTTTTCTCTCTTTCAAGCACTGAAATTAAAACAACTCTCTCTGTTGTCATTTTTTCTGTCTGAAACATGGATGGAATAGAGCAAAATGTATCAGACTAACAAAAATTAGACAAAAATAGTTAACATTTATCATACTACTAGAACAAAACAAAATCCCATAATTGAAATGAAATTTTATGCCCATAGGCATACAATCAATACATTTCCCGTTCAAAACATAAAGCTTTATTTCTTCATTATGCATTTCAATTTTACCCCTTTTTTATAACGACAAATAAATCTCAAATAAAAGCTAATTAAGTAAGCGGGGCTTTTCAAGTTTATGAATCTTCTAACATTATTTTTCTCCTCTTACAAAAACCAGAGCTCCTGAGTCGCTCTTCAGTTCTTCGGCCTCAAGGTAGGTTTTAAAAAAATTGATACTCCTTAATTTGATAGCGGGTTTTGATGGCGTCAAAAAAAAAAACCACCGACGGGTTCATCCGTCGGGAGGGACGAGGGGGACAGACAACCTGGACATCGCCGCACACAGGGGCAGGATGGACAGGCGCGCGTTAGAGGCCGTCTTACTTGTTACAGAGAATAATACGTAGTAAGATTGAGAGAGATAGAGAGAGTACCACAGATATCCACGATGCGGTGCCGCGGTGGTGGATAACAGCGCTCGCCGAAACGAAAACCTAATGCTGTATGTAAAATTGTATTGTAAGAACCTTGTATATCATATTGGCTTGCTATTTTTATATCCTTTAATATAATAAATGAGACTCGGATGCACGGAAATTTGACATTTGGCATGTCTATGTGGCAAAATTTAAATATGTCAGCATGTCACGTAATATCCGAGTAAACCAGTAGAAATAAATTATATAGGAATATATACGATGCACCAGCGGATCTTCCGTTGAAACAATTGACCGTAGATTTTCTACGCGATAATCACTGGCCTTCAACAAAATTCTTTGCTTCAGATTACAACAATACGAACTCTTATTATGATGATAATATAAAATAATTAAAAATAAATATGAAAAAAATATAAATACTATTAAAAAATAAATATAATATTTTTCATTTAATTTAAATAGAATTTTAGGACCATGCTACATATATTAATCCTTTATCTTACTTCCATATTTAAAAATTACATACTTAAATTAATAAGTTACAAAAGTTTATTGTGGAAATTTTTGTATAATAAGAGTTAAAATCAATAGAGTACCTATATTATTGATGGAAATCAGAATATTATTATTTACAAAAAAGATTATTAAGAAACAATCCTAAATAATAGTACTAATTTTGAAAATGATGATCACGGGTATATTACTCATCACCTTACTTATATTATGTATGTTGGATAATGCTAATATTATTTTGGATCCGTTTACTTATATATGGAAATCTTTAATTATGTGTCTTGAAAAAAGGGGTACCAATTATGCTATTGAAGAACATTGACCAAACATCTGAATTGTGTAATAGGACAAGATTAATCGTTCAAGAGCTGCGAAATAATGTTATCGGTGCAATTGTGGTTTCAGGAAATTGAGTTGAGGAAAAAGTTTATGTTGGGTTAAGGAACCCGAGGCCTAGGAGACAAGACAAAAGAGTATCGAACTGAGTTGAGAACGCACAGGTTGGGAATCAAGTAAGATCGTAAAAATTAGCGTACAAGAGAACGTGTCTCCCTTTCTCTAGAGAAAGGACTTATATACAAACTACAAATGTTGGGTTCCCGATCCGTTGGTTCAAAGTCCAACGGATCGGCCCCACTAAGATTTGGTCGTTTAACTAGCGGCGCCAACCACATCATTATCCCTAAGGTGGCTATACAAGATAGGTTACAAGTAGGGTGGCTAAAACTACTCTGACGGAGGCGTGGCAGGGGTCCAATCTTGGGCCCCGTGATTTGACTGCTCAGACAACTTCCATGCCCGTGGTCCCGGTCCGGTAGCATCCTAGGCCGAGGCCGGGCACATGTGATCTGCTTCCTGAAGTCCTCCAGTGAAGGGCCGGCCGAGGTGGTCCGAGGCTGAGCGCGTTTGCCGGGGCCGAGTGCATACAAATCTTGACGCGGCAGTGGCCCTCTTGAGACTTCAGTCTCTCTTCAGTTCCGCCCAACTTAGTGGGCCTGAGCCTGGCTGGGTTGGGCCGCTATTTCCATTGGGCCGGATACCCCATTCCAGGATATCCATCAGTTTACATCCCTAGAATGAATTTGGTACCATCTGATCCAGGGCTACCCTTGAAGTTCCAAAGAAGACAATTCCCGATCGCCTCATGTTTTGCTATGACTATCAACAAAAGTCAAGGTCAAACATTGTCATTTGTGAGATTATTTTTAACCAAGTCAGTGTTCACATATAGTCAATTATATTTTGCTATTTCACGAGTGAAGACAAAGACAAGATTAAAAATATTAGTTCTAGATGACAATGGAAATCCTTGCAACCATACCAAAAATGTTGTATACCCTGAGATCTTTTAGAAAATTTGGTATTGGAATAAGCATTGTTAACTCTACATTCTGTTCCTCAAATATTATTTATTTTACTTTGACTTTTTTCATTTGTAGTCTTAAAAATCATGTGAGCAATATATTTTCTTTATTCCAAAAAATAAATTTCAGTGAAATAATTTAGAATCTACATAAATTTCTTTTGACCCCGTGCATGGCACGGGTCAGAAGACTAGTTTTAACAAGTGAATAATGACATAGCAAGTGATATTTTGTTGCATTCCCCAACCATGGCTTGCTAATCCATTCTATAACTCTTGGCTTTCTATAATTTGAAGAGCTTGTTATTTGTAACAAGCCAAAGTCATTTTTTGGCAAGCTTGTTAAAATTAAACACACCCATTGGAGAAGAAAAAAATAGGTTGACTTGTTATATTATGGCTTTTAGCAAGCCAAAGTAGGATGATTGGAGATGCTCTAAATGGGGACTTGTCTCCACTAGACGCGTGCAAACTAGGAGTTTGCTATATAAATTATTAATCCATTTAGGTGGCGGGCTTGGTGTGGCTCGAATTTGATGGACTAAGTCCCCGTTTCGTTCAACTTATTTTTTTATCGATTTGATTTTTCCTATTTTTGATCTGATTAGTTCTAATTTGATCTGGTCTCATCTGATTAGATCTAATCTAACTTAATTAGATTTAACATAATCTGATATATATATATACTAGACTGGTACCCGTGCGATGTACGGACTGTAAAATTATTTATATTTAGTCTTGGTTTGGAATAACATAAAATGATACTCCAAATCAAAAGATTTCAAATTTTATTAGAATTACCCAAAATAATGTTCAGTACAAAAGAACTGTAGTCGATATGCAGTGTTATAAGTTTTGGAACACTTCTTTATAAACTACGTTCTAGTTTGGTTTGTTGACAAAATGTCTTTATTGCAGATCAATATCTTTAACCCTCGCGACTTGTAACATATGAAATTGCAACATAGAATTGATCATGACTATATAACAATTTCTTGAGTAGCAATCCAACATGAGACAAAAATTAGCCTTGATTTTTGTTAATTGTCATTGTGTATGAAGTCATGATTGAGAATTGTTTCCTTTAAAATCTTAAGAAATCATTGCATTTGACGGTGTGAGCAACAATCATGGGATAACAACTTCTTGACCGACATTTTTTCATGTCATCAGTGTGCCTTGAATAAGATAATTGCCAAGTCAAGTTACTATCAATATTGTTTCATTGCATAGACCTGATGATTGATTAATATTTCTCAACAACATAATGGGTGTTCCAACCTTCAACTTCAGTTCATGATATTTGAGACACCAAATGTTGGTATGTTCGAGATTTCTAGAGAATGTAAGAATATGTATTGAATACAATTATAAAAGATCATGTAGGTAATTAAAATTTATTGCATACTAATTTAGAAAATTACTTAATTAGTGAAAACTCTTTTGAGAATTTATTCTTAATTGTAGTACTCCTAAAATCAAACATTATATAGATTAAATATCCAAATACTTTACAAGTGCTTTGTATGAAACATAAAATTAGTCAAATGTTTTAAATATTCTGTAGTAAAAGAATTCCCAACCTTAAAAAGATATAGTAAAAGAAAAGTAAAATAGCCACACAGTACATTTAAGTCATCAATGTGTGTCTTAAATACATTTTTTCAAATAGATTAATGAATGAATAAACATTAGAATTTAGAATTAAATATAAACATGAAATATCATTAAATAATTAAAATACTCATAATATATACTCCGTAAGAGATAATCATATATACTACTATCTCCATCCCAACAAAACTTCTCTTTTTTACTTTTTAAAAAACTATGACAATCTTTACCCATAAACTATGAAAAAAATATTTAATGGTTATATCAATTCTATGTAATTAAAATATAAATATACAATTTGATTTATCAAATTTCTATTCGACAAAAAAATCAAACATGAAGCAATAAAAAATAAGAGTGTATTACTTTTTAAAAAAATGTTGTCATTCTCAAACATTTTAAAAATTAAGCAAGAGAGCTATAAGTCATACAATCTAATAAGCTTATAAAAGAAAAGGAGAAATACAAAGTATCACCCAAGCAATATTAGCAAGGGTAAAAATTACGGAGAAAATCTAATAATATTCTAAAAAAGACTATGCGCGACTACACCCAAATTTGTGAAGAATCTCAGTTGACGCCATTCCAACTCCAATAGTTTGCTTTATCAAATCCTAGGTACTGAACAAAAACCCCACCAACCTTTTGTATGATTTGTTTAACCCACATCACTAAATATTAAAAAAAAATCATTAAGAAGAAAAAATTTCAACAGAGTATTAACAAAGACGCTTGAAGAATGCCAATTGCTAGCTTCCAAAGTAAGAGCCCAGTCCATGTGAGTGATGCAGCACCACCATAGATTGGAATAATTAGAAAATGAAAGTTGCACCAGAGGAGGTAGAAGCAATACTCATGTAATATGGAACAAAGATTCACAATTCGCTCTGCGATCTGCAGTGAAGTGGTGGCCTCAGTGAAGTGGTGGCCTAATTGAAGACAATTATAATTCTCAAATTCTTGCCAAACATCATCTAGAAGGAAATGATCAACCCGGCTCTTTTGATATAATGACCATTGCCCCAACAAACCAAAACTCAGAAATTCTAGAAAACAATTAAAATAAACAATTAAATTTGAAATGAGCTAGAAAGAAAATAGAGAAATTAATGGGTTATACCCCTCGCACCTGGACGGGAAGTGAACGATTGTTTCAGATGCAGGTGACAATGACTTCAGGAGAACACCAAGTACAATTTGTAGCCCATTAGTGCTTAATGGAATCGTGCCACAATAAGTAAATGTTCCTAGAGTTTGTTAGCAAACGGTAATTTCAATATTATAAATTCTTTGGACAATTAACAAAAAAAGTGATTTTCAAGAAATAACTACAAACAATTGCTCTTATTCATAAAACTTGCACTGAACGTTAGGCAAAATAAGAGCAAAACAATCAATGAGAAATTAATGTTATGGACACCAATTGTTTTCTAGATAAAACAATTAACCAAAATATACTGATTTTCAATAGTTACTTCTAGATAAAACAATTAACCATTGAAACCAAAATATACTGATTTTCAATAACATTTCCTATTCTACAGTTATATCCAGAAGATCTCAATCTTGAGTTGCTGTAACTGAAGCTTTTCAGATGTTTTTTCTTATCAATGATTGAGCAATTGCAATCAAAATAGCATCTACCAAATAGATTGCAAAAAAAACGAACACATTTATTGGGAGAACTCTATCCAAATCTTAAAATATTCAATAACATATGTACTTTAGACAGATATATAGAGATATTCTAAAGATTAGCTTATATCTGAAATTTTTTTTATCAAAAAGCATAGTGTAGAATATGGTTTAAGCTAAAACAAAGTCATGAAAGCATTGATGACATAATAGAATAAAATCCTACAAATCATAAAATTTTACTAATAATGGATGGTAGTTGAAACAATACTTGAAAATATGCCTTCAACATAAAGAAAACAAACCACAAAATAAGTTGCCAAACATTAGCCTTCTTAAAAAATCACCCTTCTTTGTTTAGTATGCAGTGACCATCACTTGAAAAAAAGAGAGACATGAGGTGCCTCTGTTATATTAAAAAAAAAGTGCATAAACTTTATCATAAAAATTGATATGATCAATGTGAATAGAGATCAAGCCAAGATTGGTGCTGAAATACCCACAATGATAGTCAGGCAAGTCGGGCAACTCTAGGAAGAGATTTTTAAACATACGACATCAGACCCATAACCTTTGAAGAAGACAAAATGAGTTTTTTAACCCATAACCTTTGAATTCAAGAAAAAAATGGATAAAATTAAAATTATAGTCTCATGAGTTTTACCTGATCTTCGTTGCCACCCAATGCAATTCCTCTCTCATAAAGAGACCACTTCAAGGCACACACCTGAAATTCTTAGTTATAATAAGGTGAGGTTCAAACTATGCGAAGGATTAAAACTTATCTATGGTTTTGAGAAGCCCAGATTTGGCCATTAACCAAATGGTTTACTCAAAAAGGTAAATACTATGCAATGGCATAAAGAAAGGTCAAACTTTGATAATGCAAATCGCAAGCAGTAAATTGCAAATAACAATGGATTCAGTTGTGTGCGTGTCAAACCTTTGACTGTGAAAATGAATCAATTAATATTCCTGATACTGGACTGGAATGAGGCTGGTACAAATAAATCCCATCTCCATCCTATTTGGCATCCGCGTTCCAGAAACCAATATTTCCAATCTTATTTCCTGCAACAACCATTCTCATCTCTGCCGTAGGGATAAACTCCACATTTAGTATTCTTCCTAGAACAACCCGAGCCATATTTTCTGGTTCCAATCTCAATGAATCAATATCTATTGAACATAGATGTCTTCTCTTCTTCTCGTGTTCACAAACAATAAGTTTTTAATCAGCACACTCATCTAGCTGTACTTTACTTGATAATCATGGATTTTAACATGAAAAATAGATTCAAATGATGACTATTTCTCCCTCGAGATTCCATTTTTGGTGGAGTATTTTGCCCTATGCTCATTCCATTAGAAGTAGCATCAAATGCAGTTCTTGTCGTTTGTTTGTCCTTACATTTTTAAAAACACAAAGAAAAAGGGAGGACAACAAAACAAACCATTCTCTTCAACGGAAAGCCCGCTCTGTCGTTCTGAATTAGTATGAGAACTGCTACCCATCACTCCTTCGGCTCCCACAAAAGGAAGGGAACAAAATGGAACAAATCAATACCGGCCAAATCAAATAATTCTAATAATGATCAAACACATTACCAAGAGTTTAAAGTTTGCATCTTTTGTACAAACAACACATCCCATACTTTGTTCAATTTGAAAATGGCAAAAATAAGAAGGTAAATATGCTAATCATGAAATGAAATATATGTACACCCAAAAAAACATTAAATGGAGATGAAGAAAGTGAGATATTGAAATAAAGATTTTTTACCCATGCTTGTCTATATACCGTACACCCATGCTTTAGCCGAATTTTTTTCTGCACAATATCTCAGATCTAAAATACTTACACGGCCAAAAAATTTGCAATGCTTGAAGCTGCAGAATATAAAAGATTAAGCAATTGAAGCCGCATAGATAACGATTTGTAAAAAATATTCCATCACAAAAACTCACATAGTTGAGCTTTTAACTTCTCTTTCATCGCATACCTCTTCCGAGTTCTAATGGAAGGAGCATTGGAGCAGCTATTTTGATATATCTATTGCACGAACTGATGCACTCTAGCTGCAATTTGCGGGCAAAGCCCCTCCGTGCCGCCACGATCCAGCCAGCCTAGGGTAGAAGCTTAAATACTACCTTAAAGTTTCATCAAATTGAATTCTCTTTGAATCCAATGATCCACCTTCAATCTTCAGGAAAAGCTTACATATTACATCAAATTTTAATAATTGTGAAGAAAAGACTTCAAGAAAAGCTTACTTCGAGTAAATGAGCCCTTATCATTGGCATTGGTAAAAAATTTGTGAGCCACCACAACGTTCAGAAGAAGCAATGACTTCCTTAGCTTTGGCCCTCTAAACTGAAAATGATTTTGTTACTCAGAAGTTAGGAAGGGAGCATGACCAAGTGAATGAAAACATAACTAAATGAAATAATCTGAATGCAAAGGGTGATGGATCCCCACTCTATTTTTCAACTTGTTGGCAAAAGAAATGAGTGCAAGTAAATGCAAGTACATTTCAAGTATCAATTATAACATAGCTTATGAAAATATAACATGCCAATATGGTGTCACAATTATCATGGTTTCTTCAAAAGTCAAAGAAATTGATGCATATAAGACGTGTATAAGGAGAGCATGACCAAGTGAA